CTAACATTTTATTACCCATCATTATGTATCATTAAATACATACATATTAATGTAAAAAACAGGGGTGATGGGGATGGAGGGGGGGAGTAAGTGTGAAATTGGGGGAGTATCTACAAAGAAGGAAACACCTGAAAGGGGCCTTGGTGGTTTGATGTCTGTTTGCAGTGTAATTCATGTATGAACATCTCTCTGTGCATTTTAACACCAAAGGATTAAGTCATAGGTTTGTTTATAAAATGCAAAATAACACCAACAGAGTAGTCATACAAGATGAAAGGGATACATAATCCAAGTACTAATAGCTTTGATTAAAGTCTGTAATAAGCTCACTCCTAAGCAGTTGGCTTAACATTAATGGGAGCGATATTCTTGTGGCTTAAAGGGAGATTCACTATGACACTTTCACTTTCAGAGAGCTTCCAGAGATATTTTCAAAGAGTAATGATGAGACACTCCGTTGTTGGACCTCTGTTTTCATCACTTTGTAAAAAAGTCCATGAGCTATGTTTTTCCTGGACCTATCACATCATGTGTGACACATCATTCCACTTACAATAGCAGTTATTCAAAAGGTATTTCCTCCAAGGTCCAAGGATTGTCTAAAGAAAATTATTCAAATTGCACCAAATCACTTGAAATATCAGATCACGTCATAATATAAGTGAAATGATACACCAACCCATCTTTCTTCTGGTCCACCACTCCAGCCAGAAGCTTTGTGGCTTCGTCCGACAGCTGGATGTCTGTGTGGGCATGGAGGAAACGGCTCACAAAGTCATGCGGTGACATGAAGTAGTCGTCATTCTTCTTGACACTGGCATACTGTAAAAAGGAAAAACAGATACGAGCACAAAAACACATGCTGAGCTTTAGAATTTGATAAAAAAAAAAATAAAAAAAAGAGACAAACATAAATCGAACGACGAGTGAAAAGCTTCTTTGATAAGAGGCAAACACAAAGGAGAAAACAAAAATATATAAGTAAAATCCCACCTTTTCAAAAATGGCTTTCAGCTCAGTGGGGTCGGCCCTCCTAGGCAGAACTGCCTGCAAAACAGTGAGTGAACATTTTAAGAATACAACTTTCAAACACATCAAGTGAATACAGTGGCCCGCTTTGTATCAATAGCACATTTATCATCCTTCTGGGTCTTGGTGCATCATTTGAGCAACACTGTAGAACTTCTCTTTTTGGCTTGTGATCCGTAAAAAAAAAGTTTTGCCTGTTTGCGACCCGTTTCACGCAGGTTTTCGTGCGGACCAGCATAACAGAGGAGTGACTGCTTTCCTTCAACGACTGTTTTACATAAATTCAGATAGGAAATGTTAAATTATACAGTAATTTACAAGCAAAAATTAAACATGAAATTACCTTGTGGTTTTTAATCACATATCTGTGATTGGGGCCGAACAATTATTTGCTTTCAAATTGAAATCGCAATTTGAAACAATGCAATTATCAAATCGCAAAGGCTGCAATTTAGGATATATGAGGTGTGGTTATTAACTAATGAGACTAATGCTATAATTCCATTTATCTGATTTGAGCAGACTGAAGCTTGCAGAGGTTGTTTATGCTTCCCTATTGGTCATTGCATACTACGGGTTTGAGGCATGCGAGCTGCAGTTCAGATGGCATAAGCCCAGTCTCAGTATGTAATAGCCACACCTTGAACATTTTTGCAGCATATCTGAACCACAATTTAAACTGTCATGTGGAATTTTTCTTTACAAATTCATTCCCTCCTTCTGGTGTGCCAGCCACATTTCTAAAGGTGGTAATGTCCAATCACTGAATATTATATTGAAGCCTAAATCATCCAGCCTGATCTGTGATTAAGTAATGTACCTGAGCAAGTTCCGGTCAATGAAGAAAGCTTTTGTTTATTGTCAAAAGCTTTAGCAAAAGTTGTATGTGAACCTTGCATTTATAATATTTCATCAATCCATTATCAATACACCGCTTTATCGTCTGTAGGTTACAAGGGGGGTGGAAGTCTATGCCAGGTGACTTAGGGGGAAGGTAGGATGCATCCTGTACAGGTTGCCAGTATGATATTTCATCACAAACTTAATTTTGTGTGACTGAAATGTGTTTCTGCTACACACACTTAATTCAGGTTAACCATCTCACAATCTTGTAACCTACTGGAAGCCCCAGTTCAGAACTAACGGTGCTTATATGGTTTTTTTTTTTAAAGGATTTAAAAAGCAGCTGATAACATTCATATCTGCAGGTGCTGCAGTGTCACATAACAGAGCAGACATGACAGCTGTTTAAGAGCATCCAGGTTGTATACAAACAATGACACTAAAGCCATGTTAAAGCATCTCCTCTACTCCATGAGAACTTCTGGTCCTACAGGTAGTTTATGACTTCCACAGCATGTAGCAGGATGCTAACCAAGGTTATCAAGGTTCTTTGCGGTAAGGAAACTGGAAACGGGGCCTGAAAGGAGCAAGGAGGATTTTTAAAAAAGCACCGACAGTCTCATTACTGCACTTGGCACCATTGCTGAAACAACAGCTCAGTCAGTTTTTAGAAGCTCGTAGCTAAATGTACCTTAACTAGCTAACCGGCTACAGTAAAGCCTCAATGTCATTGCCGTGTGGTCAGTGTTAAACTCTAGCACATCCTCTTAGCAGGCTAACCGGCAGTTAGCGAGCCCCCCCTCCCCTCTCCCCGGACAGACTTCCTAACCGGCGGAGAGCTTCACGGAGGACACTACCGGGACCGAGCACGTCTCCGACGAGGCGACAGCTCCGTTCGGAGACGTGAGAAAGTGATGTAGGGGAGGAAACTCAGCAGCCGCTTACCTTTGCTGCCATGCTAAACAAGCTGCCTGTCAGTACCGTCCCGTTCACTTCCTCCTGCGTGACGACGTTCCCATGGAGATCACGCGCCGGTGCAGTGAAAGGAGGATGAAAGAGGATCAGCTGTGCACGTGGTGTCGGGGGCACGAGGGTCAACTGGTCAGCGGGCGCGTGTCACAGCCATTCAGTGATATCCATTCATTAGTGTGTGTGTGTGTGTGTGTGTGTGTGTGTGTGTGTGTGTGTGTGTGAAAGACTTTCAATTTTAATTTCAATTCAGTTCAGTTTTCGTTATTGGCATTGAAGTCAAGGAAGTCAATACTACAATTATATCACAGAACAATAACAACAACAACAACAACAAAAAAAAAACCTCATCAACAAAACACAAAAAATAATTAGAAACAAGAACAAGAATGACTTTCTGTATCTGTTGCTATTTCTATCTCTATTTCTTGTATTAAACCTGCTCATTGGATGGCCATAGTGCACATCACATCGCATATATAGACAAAACTGATTGACTGATATAAGCTCAAATGTTGTCATGGCCTAAATCAGCTCCATCCCATCCCTGGATGTGCATATCATCATGGAATATTTCGGGGGCCTTTAAGTTCATTCAGCTTAGAAAGTTACCCCTGCTGCCTTAAAAATGTGAGTCAGCTGCACTTCGGTTTGTCAGTTCGTTCAAGGTCATTTTACGAGTTGTGAAAGTGTAAAACTGGTCGAGTTAAATTAACAGAGCTTTTGAAGAAAAGGTTCAATAAACTTAAGATATTAGGTTGAATCAACTAGTTGCATAACAAACTAGTTTCTTCTTCATCTACACTATAAAAAGTGAAAAGTTGATCTTACTTAAACGAATCAAGGAAACCGGTTGCACTCACAAAAGGGAAGTAAATATAACTGTTAGTCTTAAATTCAGTTTACTTCATATCTACTTGTAAAGTTTACTTAAAATTCCACTGTATTTACTTAATTTTGTGAACTTAAAAATAGCAAGTATAATGAATTTGATCTTTGTGTTAGAGTGCAGTGCATGTAAAGTTGTGTTAGACAAATAATAATTGATCAGATTTATATAGCGCTTTTCTAGACACTCAAAGTTGCTTTACACTGTCAATTATTCATTTATGCCGGTAGTGGTATGCATTCATACACCAGGCAAGGCAGGTGAAATGTCTTGCCCAAGGACACAACAACCATGACACAGGTTACAGGGCAGAATCAAACCACCAACCTTCCGATCATTGACTGACCCGCTCTACCACCAGAGCCACAGCCGCCCTGTAAACTTTGTGGAAACTTCTCCTGCACTTCTCTACTGCACATGTGCACTGCTGAGCTCTGTGTTCAGTCCAGGAACAGAACATTTCAAGTCCAGTTTACTCAAGTGTACTTAGTTTTATAACTCTTTAAGGAAAAATGAGTCCATATTCACAGTCCACGAGTTAAATGAACAGGACAATGACAAATAAGTAAAGCACACTAATGGGATTCACGTAAGCATAGGTATTACCTTTTAGAGAAGGGGTGGGCAATCCTGGTCCTCGAGGGCCACAGTTCTGCATGTTTTAGATTCAAATGATCAGCTCATCATTAAGCTCTGCAGAAGCCTGATAACGATCCTGATCATTTGAATCAGGTGCATTGGAAGAGGGAAACATCGAAAACATGCAGGATTGTGGCCCTCGAGGACCAGGATTGCCCACCCCTGTTTTAGAGTGTACCAAGAACTTATAGCCTTCGCTGTTAAAGCCTTTTCTGACCAGAATTAGTGCAAATATAACCTGTAAGGTTGCTGCCGGTTACAGTGACATAAATTCTAAGTCTATGACTGAATTTTAGAGTTTGTCATATCTAGAACTGTCTTGATTTTTAGGAAAAGAAAAAACTATAAGTTGACAGTTCTTGACACGCAGAAAATGAACACCATGTCTGGTTTCTTAAACTATAAAAAACAGGAGTCTCTAGGGCATTTTAACTTGTTAACAATGCATCTTGGGTAGTCTGCAAAAGTTTTGTTTTTTATAAACTAAGTTTAACGAGTTGAGTGAACTCCCTGCTGTTCATTCATTTGACTTGTCATTTAGGTCCACTTGGCTCAGGTAATGACAACACATGTTTTTAAGCTCTAAAGGGATCTGAAAGGAGAAAAAAAATAGATATTAGCAAAACTTGGATATTTACATTCACTAAACTTGATAAAATAAGTTGATCTGACTTCATTCTTTTACAGTGTTTACAGTGAACTGAGCACAGGGCCAGGCTCTGATGGTCTTGTGTGGCCCCAGACTTTATTTGGTGCCATTTATTATTTATCATTGTAGAGCTACAAGCCTAAATCAGAATGAAACCCTTTCCCAAAATCAGTGACACCAGATTACACGAGGTTTTCTTATTATTATTTCTGCCTTATACAGTGGCACAATGCACACTTATACCTCAATACCCTACATTAAAATGATAGCACTCAAGGAATTCAAATATATTTCACAACAGAATAGCTCTGCTTATGACAGAGGTTTCATTAGATTATTTCCTATAGCATTTTTCAACCTGTCTGGTTTCTTGTTCAGCCTCAGTCTATTCGCTCCCTCAACAGAACTTTACAGAGATTTCCTTCAAACAGGCTTTAGGCACTCTCCAAAGAGATTGTACCTATCACATCAAAGGAAAATCACCAGCACAAAAATGATAAGAATTGGAAATAAAATCAACATTTTTAATAATAACAAGCATTTTTGGCTTATAAAATGAGGAAAGTCGTGGATTTTTGTCAAATAAGGCGAAACAGATTAATAGAATTTACTGTACATGAACCGATCAGGCTTTTTGTTGTGCATAGTTATTCCCTAAAAGCCCATTCTAATCCGTAATAAACTTGGCTGAGTTAAGGTAAACCTGCAAAACACCTCAAAAATATGTAAAACATCCATTAACAGTGTGTCAGAGGAACTGATAGAGTTTTG